AGTGATATTATAATTACTACAGTACCATCGTGCTGCAAATGGGCTGCCTGTGCTTGGTTACCTACCACAGATTTAATCCATGGGCATAACAGTCTTCTCTTTGTGTTTTCACAGCCTGCCTCTTCAGAGGAAGACCTTTTGTTTCCAACCAGGATGATAAATGGGTTTTAGCTTTATTTTCTCAGAGGGAAGCTTATGTGATTGTGCTGTCTGTCATCTGTCTACTCCGATAAGTTTTTAACTGCCACAGCCAATTATAATTATTTCCAAAGAAAAAAATTGCCAGAGGCAGACATCTCCATGATAATTATATTTCTATGGATTTTGTGAAAGACAGAAGCAGAGTGGGTTGGGGCTAGGAAGGAGGAGGGAGAGGACAGAGCACAAGACCACACTGGGAGCATGCCATGTCACGGAAATCTGGGAGGCCTCAGCTGATCCCCAGCCCATCCTGGCTGAAGGCAGGCAGGCAGGCAGGCAGTCTACAAGCACTAGAGAGTCAGTCAGCAGGCCTGTCTCTCCAGGCATCTCACGAGATGTACCATCTCTTGCCCAGGGGTGTTATTTCATAGGGGACCTGGCTGTGTCTGCGGCTGCCGCCCTGCAGAGGGGGAGCAGGGAGCAGGCACACACCTCCTTTCTGCCAGCTGTGATGGAGGAAGAAGATTTAGTTGTTTTGATGCAGGCAGGGGCACTGTTTTGCCCTGGGCCTGTACTTGCAGGCTGCAAAACCTGGATGGCGGCTGAGCTGGGCTGGTTGGTGCCCCCAGGGAGGATGGATGGGCCAAGTGCAAGGCATGGCCAGCGTATGCTCTGTGTTGTAACTAATTGAACATAATGGGTACATTGTTAAAAAAGGCTTGTAATGTGTGGGACAGTGTGTTCTCTGTGCCAGTACACTAATGAAAGCTGCTAAGGCCAAGTTTGTAAATACATTTAGGTGACTGAACAAAGATACCTAAAGATAGGTAGAGCCTAATTCTTTCTGACATCAAAAGGGACTCTGACTTGCACTGCATGGGAAGTCATGTCTTGAACAGCTTTAAAGCTAGAACATTTCCTCTTAAATATTTTAGAAGAATTGACCCTGTCTCGGAGCGAATCTTGACTGAAATCAGAGGTTTCTGGAACCCTTGAGAACCAAGTAGAAAATTGCAGTTTTTGTTTAACTGACCCATTCCCTGGAATGACACATAGTGTTTCGCCATTACAGGACTTTCTTGGAAGGAGCAAAATGCCTAGAGTGAAAGCAGATCACCATCTTCATCGCCTAAATACCGTAGCATATAAGTTCTTTAGGCTTGTCGATAACCTGGTCCAGCTCTCCAGGTGTCTCATTTAAGCAGAGGACAGCTGGAGGTAACCCCCAAGACAGCTGCTCTACCTGTCTGTCTCAGCAGTGGCCTGCAGTGGGTGTTCAGGAGCCCTCGTGAAATGAGAGGGTTTCACATGCTGGGGTTTCAATTGCCACCAAGTCACTAAGGCCAGTAAGTTACCTGATGAATCCCAGCAGCTACAGCAGCAGGTGAAAACAGGAAATGCAAAAAAAAAATTCATTCAAATACTCAACAGGAGTATTTGAATGCATTGTAAACCAAGAAGGGGAAGGGGAGCATGAAAGAAGAATCGTTTCCCTAAAATACTTTGTTTTGAAATGGAGGACAGATGACTGCATTTTAGCCCCATCAAACTGTGAAAGGTTAGCACTTTTTCACAGCATTGCTTTATTTTTGCCTAGGTCTCCAGCAACTATTACTCAAAGTTAATTTGGGCTTTGGCCCTTGGGAACTTATTTAATGTGCTTAGAAGTCCATTAATATTTATAAATGCCACTTGAATTCCATTTTTACTTTCTTCCTAGGCAGGAGCACTCCTAAGAAGATAATATTGTTGCTTTTATTTTCATTTTTTTTTAATTCCCCTCCCCCCCTTTTTTTTTTGTTTTGTTTTTTTTTCATTGTTTTTGTTTTGTGTTATTGTTGTTGTTTTTTTCGTTGTTTAGGACTATTGTAATTCAGGGTTGAGCTTGTTCTAAAAATGTCATATTCTATAGAGCTGTGATGTATAGTTTTGGTAGCCTGCCTATGCCCCCAGGAAGGGCCTAAGAGTTAGATCTTAGGCCTGGAAAAATGGAGATGGTGTCTATTCTCAGCTCTGCCACTGGCTAATTACGCAACCTTAGTCAGTTCATTTAACCTTGGCATGACTAGGTTTCCAGATCAAAAGCGAAAGGGATAAAAGGCTCCTTTGTGAATGCTTCCTGGTGCTTGAGGAAGAGCAAGGTATTTACTACCCATGAAGTTGCTGCCTTGTGACTTCTGGGTATGAGTGGTTCCTGTGAGTTTTACCATATGAATGTCTCGAGTGAGTCCAGGAACACAGACCGAGGTCTGGCCACCGCATTTCTTGCCGAGGGAGACAGCCCTCACAGTTGGTTTGACAAATCACAGCTACAGACACCCTTTGCTTTAGGCAATCAGGCTTTTATGTCACTCTTCAGCAGTTTCCTGCCAGCCACAGCAGTCGCTGCCTCCTGTACATGGGCTTGTGTATGTGATTCATGCCTGTCACAGCTTCACTTGCTGACCCCAGAGAGTGATCAATGGCACTCCAAAGAGCAGTAAACCAGTATAAAATGGTAGATTAGTGCCTAGTAGTGGTAATAAAATAGTTGCCTAATTTAAAGACCAAAACTGTGCCTTGGAAGTCATAAATAAGAGACTGACTCAGGAACAGTTTTCAAAATATATGACCTCTCACTTTTGGAGCACTTGGACTTAATCCATATGTCAGAGTTGTGCTTTTCACAGCTTCTGAGATATGTTTCTGTACGAGCTTCTACAGCATGTATGCACTGAGTGATGGGCAAAACAAGAGGGAAATGGTCACAGTGATGTTAGAAAATGGTTAAAAGCATGCAGCTCTTCTATTTCAGCAGGGTTTGCTTTGTGTTCCTGGTTCAGAAAGGAAAGCAGAGCTGCCCGACCTTTGTCTCAGTGGGCACCTGAACTACCTTGTGCTGCACAATCCTGCTGTCTGAAACCACCAGCAAGCAGAGGTGTTGCAGACCTTCCTCAGCAGCAGAAGGCAGAGCATTACAAGACAAAGTATTTCCAGATGGACACCTCTCTGGATGGCATGGCTATTCCCAACAAAACCAGGGAAACTGCATGCACAGAGAGTTATTTTTCGGGGGTTTGTGAAACCTGGTTCAGTAGTGCAGGAGGCAGCACCTGAGAGAGCAAGGCTCTCCCACGCGAGACTCCTGGCCGGATGAAATTTCCCATGCGTGCTGTTTTGCTTTTAGGCCAGCGTGGGTGTGCTACTGTTGCCTCAGCAACAGGGACAAATGCGTGCTGCAGCTGTAGCCTTCTCTTTGCAGCGGGAGGAGAGCATCCCCAGTTTGGTTAAAGAAAACACGCTGTGCAGCTCCCCACAAAGGGGACCCCAATGCCTGTGCCTATCAGCACGCCAGTGCTCAGTCTGGGCAGAGAGGCATGAGCTACAGCTGACGCAGACATGTCTCCCCTGCTACCCTCTGCTCCAGCTCGTTTCTTCTGGCCTCCAGAGAACATCATCTGAGTCAGTCTGGCAGGAGCAGGATCAGCAGCTTCGTGCCAGCCCCCTCCATCATTTCTGGAGTCAGATGGCTCCCACTGCTCAAGGCTTTTTACTAAACTTGAATGCCTGAGGAAGTCTGAGTGCTTTATGAATATCTGGAGGAAACAAACACAGCAGTCAAGGCATCCATTAATCACTTACAGGGAAGAATCTAGAAGAATGGAGTCTCAGAAAGCAGGGGTATGAGGGGGGGGGGGAAAACCAGCCAAGCCAATATTAATGTTGCCGCTAAAAACCCCCATAAATGTAATAATCCCATATGAGACATAAAAAGTATGGAAATTCAGTTCCTCACAGAATTTTGGTTCTACCCTGGTTTTTGTCCTCTGTTGAACTGTGAGACTTGTAAAAACATCATGTCTATCTATAGATAGATATATAATTATCAGTCCTTTTTCAAAGCTTCACCAACACATATGTTCTTCACCTAAGAACAAAGTATGCATTTAGAGTGCAAGTATTCATAGAGCCAAAATTTTGAGACATTAAAAAGAAAGGTCCTAAAGAGGGCTGCTCCTGGAGAAAAAAGTCCATTGCTGTAATAGTCAAATGTGTGTATCACAGCAGACGTAGAAATAGGAAAATGGAGCATTTATCCTCACTTTTAATTGACAACAGATCACTTACAGATTCGTCAGTGTTTTTTGTGCTGTCTTTACGTAGACAGTATCACTACAGCCAGAAGCAAACGTGCCCCTGGCAAGGGCTGGTTTTCCACAGGCTTTTAGCGACAAGTAGGAATCCCTCCGATCTCCTCGCCGGGATTATTCACGCGCGCAGCGTCAGCTCACTGCCGAGAAGGGACCCGGGAAACGAGAGCGCTCCCTCCGCTCCCTCCCGCCCCTGCCCCGCGGGGCCACAGCCCGGCAGGCGAGAACGGGGGGCTTCAAGCCCCCCAGGGGTGTTTTATCCTTCACAAAATAAAGGGTTCGAAATCAGTGAAGCGATCAGGGAGCCGCTTAGAGAGGGGGCCCGGGAGTCGCCCTGTCAACGCTTTCCCCGCTACTTGACGCTGCACCTTCCCCTGGCAGCCCCGGCCGCCTCAGAGCAGCCATTTTACCCGACCCTGTCCCCTGTGCGTGCGGGGAAACGCGAGCCGGAACGCCGGGCCCCGGAGCTCGCGCGGGTGTGGAATACGCGTCCCGATAATTACTTAAAAAAAAAAAATAAAAAAGCCAACCAAAACCAAAAAAACGAGCTTTATTGCAGCCGTTCTCGCGGGCTGCAGCAGCTCCGCCGCCAGTAGAACGAGGAGGAGGAGTGGGACGACGAAAGCGGAGCTGTCCGTGCAGCTGCCCCGCCTCGCCCGCCCCCGCGCCAGCGGCCGCAGCCAATCAGTGGGAGCGCGCCCCTTCCTCCCCCGCCCGCTGCGGCGCCGCTCCGAGCCCGTCGGTCCGGCCCGGCCGCGCTCCCGCTGCCGCCCCGCCATGTGGCTGCTGGTCGCCTCCGTGCTGCTCGGCGCCTTGCGCGCAGGTGAGACACCGCCGCACGACCTCCCTCCCTCCTTCCTTCTCTCCCCGGCCCTTCTGGCTGCGGCCTCGGCAGCCGCCCCGAGTCGCCTCCCGTGCGCCCCCGGCTCCAGCGGGTCCTGGCGCAGGCGCCCCGGCGGTGTGCCTGGCGGGGCCCCGAGGGTGCGAGGCAAAGGCTGAGCCGCCCCCGTGTCCTGCGGGAAGGGCCAGGGTGGGTGGCGGTGGCGGGAGGGCTATTCCCGGGCCGAACCGAGCGGAGCGGCCGCCGCCTGTCCCGGTCCCGCCGCCGCTCCATCTGCCCGGCGCGGGGACTCGCGTGGCCCCTGCCCGGAGCTCCCGCTGTCCCTGGTGGCAGCAGGAGCGTGTGGGACTGCGGGAGCGCAGCGGGAGCTCGCCGTGATTTGGGACGGAGCGGGGACGCACACGCTGCCATCCAGCCCCCCGCCCTTAGCGCTTCCCGCACCCTCCCCGGGCCGGGCGTGCGCCGCTTCCCGCAGAAGTTGCGGGGGAGAGGAGGGACACCGTGCGCAGAGCTCTGCTCCTCGCCTTCTTGTGCGTGAGGGCAGCTCGGCTCAGAGTGCTTTCCTGAAACAATCCAGCTGGCCGCCGGCTGCGCAGGGTCAATGGTTGACGATGTTTCTTGATCTTAGAAAAAGTTCGCGTGCCGTCGATATGCAGTTGTGACACCGCACTATCTTAACTTCTTCTCTGCCTTGAGAAAAAATTCGGTGGGGGGACGGAGGGTTAAAAAAGTAGCGACACTTTGACCGAGCTGCAGGTGCTAGGGGCTTTTTCTTCTGTCAGTAAGCAGCACATCTAAATCTGCATGTTTAAAGCTTGTATCTGTGTTTAAAGCTCGTATGTACGTCTGGGTTCCTGAGTTAGCAGTAGACGGGCTGAAGAGGTGATTCCCCCAGCACGGTTTGTAGTCGGTGAGAACTGCAAGCGCCCATCAAGTGACCAGACTGAGCCAGTTTTGTCAACCCTGTGCAGCATTCCCAGTTGGCAGGGCATATATAATCTGAAACAGACTTTCTGTGTCAGCTTCACAATTGCATATTTTTCAGAAGCCCCTAACTGCTTAGTGTAAGGCTCTGAAATTGTCGCCTTAATGTGATGCCTCTAAACTGATAATCCAGGAGAAAAGCCCGCCCAGTAGTCCGCTGCCTGCGGGATTTGGGAACTAATGCCAGAGGGTTCTGTTGTCTTCTTCTTACCACAAGAAGACTGTTGGAAGCAGATAGTGGAAGTACCATCTGCAGGAAGCAGTGAGGTTCCCTTTAGTGCAAGAGCAGCCGCACAAACTCTTGTGCGAAAGCAGCCGCGTTCGCAGAGGGCAGAACCCGCACAGACGGGTCTGTTCCCTGCTGGAGCCTGTGCCTCATTCCCGCAGCCCGCGTCTGTTCCCTGCTGGAGCCTGTGCCTCATTCCCGCAGCCCTCGGCTGGGGAGCAGCTCACACCGGCACTTCTGCACTGGCTGCAGGCAAAACAGGCCAGCTCTCATGGACTGCACGCCAGCAGACCGGTGGAATCAGGAATTTACAGTTCGCTGCTGCTCTGCTCTAATACTAGGGAGAAGATTTTAATCAATTCGTTTTTATTTCCTTCAGGATGGTTGGTTTTTTATTTGCTTTGGTAAATATTTGGAAGTATAGTCCCTTCCTTTAGTGAAAAATCAGCTTCCTCAGTGAAATGAAGCCAGTGGTGAACAAATTCTTCCTATGAAGTATAAATGTATTGGCTCTAAATCAGAAAAAAAACCCCAAACTTTTATATTGAGGTAGTGGGAAACACATGTGAAATTTACTTCACAAAGAACCGTTTAAGCTTTTAGTTGTGTACACGTGGGTTTTTTTAGGGCATAGATTGAGGTTTGGGTATAGTTTCCCTTTGTTCTGCTTTTGTTACTTTTATCATTTGAGGTACAGTTTAAAAATGGAACACAGTGAGTAAGCCAGAAAATAATTCTTCCTTCCTTCTTCCTTGTAAGGCACTATCATGCATAATACAAACGGAACCAGTTTATTATAAGCTTTTGATATTCAGTAGTAATCCAGCGACCTGTGTGAGAATAGTAAAGCAGTATTTCAGAGATGAGTGCTTTTTAAATTTGATCTGAGACTCTTGCTTTGACAAAAAGAGCTACGGCAAATAGTGACACAATTTTTATTGATTTTATTTTTTCTCCTTTCTCCCATTCCCCTAATGAAGTTTAATCATCAAGTACATATGACTAATCTGAGCTGGTTTTATACATGTGAGTAGCAGTAGTTCTCTGAGGTCCATGGAGCTTCTCCAGTGTGTAAGTCTCTGTGCTTACAGTATTAGGGGTTGTGGTCTTGTTTTACATACCTTTTCCCATATTTGGTTTTATCAGATGGATGTAATAAAGCATTTTGGATTACTTATGTCTGTGGAACTTTGGGGAGCAATTACTATTAAGAAAGCTATTAAACTATGTTATGATTTCCCCCAAAGAAGGAAAAATATAGAAAATAAAACATTGAAAGCCTTTCATTGTTACAAATTTTCCATTTTTAATTCTGCTGTGTATACACTCGAATAATAATAATTACATAATTACACTATAATTGAAGTAAGTAATTATCTCATTTAATATATGGTTTTGTGAGTGCACCTTCTCCATTGGAAAGGAAAAGAGAGAGAATTTGCAAGAAATGCTCTAAAGCTGTGGGAATTTGGCTCCACCTTCAGAGATAAGAAGGAACAGATGAACAAACCCTTCTTGACTAAGCTGCCCTGCTTGCCTTCTCTCAGAAGTATAAAAGTAGACTTTTTTAACCTGCATGCTCAGGAGCAGAAATTTGAACATCAGTGGCACAACTTGTGGTTAATGTTGTGTGTATGCTTTGCAGAAACCAGGCCTTCATGCAGTATTTCTGCATATGGCATTTCAGGGGAAGTGTCCAAGTAAGTGGCAACCCAAAATTTTACTGCTTTTATTTTAAATTTATGATAGATTATGATATCTATAATGGAGGTGAGAATGGCTAAGTCTGTGCAGAGGAGTAGAATTATAATAATGCCCTTTTTTCCTTCTTTTGTTACTCCTTTAAAGCATGGTTCTCTTTTTGTGGTTTCATGGGAGAGTTTGTTTTGTTTTCCCAAGTCACATGTTGTAATAATTTTTAATTTGTTCTCATGTGTATTAAGAAATAATTCTGAATGTGTCCATTCTCATTTTTCTTTATAGGTTCTGCGAAGTTGACACTCACTGGACCAGACGTTGTTGAAAAAAATGACTGTAACGAAACTGTCATTTTGCCTTGTTATGTGACTGACCTAAGGAAGAACAATGAAACTGTCATGTTTGTTACATGGAGAAAAGAAGGAAAGATAATTTTTTCTTTTCGTGGAGGAAAAAACGAATTTTATAGAGATGGAGACTTTTCTTCAGCAAAATTGTTATCTCGGGCGGATTTAACCAAGGGCGTGGCCTCTCTGGTGCTTACCACTAGACAAGCAACTGTTGGAAATTACAGTTGTGAAGTAACAGAATCAAACACAGAAGGAGACACAAAAATGGAACTTAGGCAGAGCTCAGGTGAGTTGCCTACTATTCTTTTAGAACCTGTTGGGATGGAAAACAAGCAAAATCTTGAGGGAAGGAGAAAAATAATGACCATGTCAATGTATTCCTTTGAATTGAAAATACAAAAAATGTAGCATCCAGGCCTTCTAACTTGAAAGCTAATAAGAGTTATTTTGGTTTAAGTTACAGGGGAGTGCTTCTGTGGGAAAGATCGGAATGCATTTTTTCATTCTGTAATAATGTCTGAGGATGATTTGTCTACTACAGGAAAATCTATGCTTTCCCACATTTTCTTAGATTATACAGTTTTTGATATACTCAGCACCTCATGTTATTGCATTACGTACTGAAACATATTCCTAATATCTTCACAATACTGAAATGTGTACGTTCATTACAGTGTCTGCAGAGATCTTTTCTTTGAAGAATTGCTTCTTGCAATCTTTTATCTTTGCTGGAAAATTACAGGTAGAACTAATAGAAATTCTGTATAAAAGCTCTCAAACTTGATCAGAAGTTACGCAGTTTTCCAGTGAGGTTGAAAATGCAACTACTAGTTGATAATGTGTTATGATTTTCTAGGATTAAACGTCATCTTCAGAAGATGATGTTTAAAGTGATGTTAAAATTAATGAAATTCAGTAAATGAATTTCTCATCCATTGCCCATTTGCTCCAGCACCTCAGTTGTTGAATAATGTACATGTGTGGTCTGTCCAATGCTCTGCAGAAGTGACAGAGCACTTTTCTGTGTGTACACTGTGTACCTCTTTGCTTCTTGCTTCTGGAGAGCTTCTCAGAAGCACCACATGTTGTTGCATCTGCGTAGGACATGCTGCCTTACTCATGCACTCTAGTATTATCCTGGGATGTTTTTGTTATTAACCTTTTGCATTTCACGTTAAATCTTTAGGAAGCTCAGGCAGATGTCCTGCTGTGGACATTTGTGTAATTCTCAGTTGGGTCTAGTTATTCAGTTAGCCATATACACTGCAAAGTAATTGTGATCCTGAAATGGATTGAGAGGGGCACAGCCACTGAAAGTGAAGATGCTACAAAATCATTTGTTTCTTAGAACACCGCAAAAACGGGAAGAGGTCTACACAGTTCCCTTCCTTCTCTTATGCAACCTTTTTTGGCTGTTTTTGCCATTCGTTGTTAAGCTCTAGAAGAGGAAACAAGGCTTGAGAATGTTAGTAGAATTGAGTTCCGTTTGTGAGTTTTATTTTTACTGTGTTTACAATTTTGAAATTGGTACGAAGACAACAAATCTGGAAACTGATGTAACTTTTCTGATTTCATTTTCTAGTTGTCAGTTGCGGCGATGAAAATGCAACACCAAAGGAAGAATGTGGTTTGTGAATAATTCATAGTTTCAAGGTCACATTAGGTTTGAGAGAATATGCTAGAAAACATAAAACTTAATCTTATGTTTAAGAGTTTAGCTGAAGGTAACACAGTTGCCTGCTCTTTCTTGCCATTCTTCTGTACAGCTTTCTCTTGCTTGCTCCTCCTCAGTGTTCTAGAGAAACTCTTGAGACAATAAGGTAATAGAAGGAAGTGTAGCAACTGAATCTTGAAAAGGGTTAGTGAATTATGGAAATCCTGTACCAGTCTTCACTCTGTCATTTCTGAGCAATGAATTCATGCTGTCACTACAAGCATGTTCCAGTTGATGCTTTTACAAAGATAGCCTTACAAGAGCCAACCATTCTCCATCTCACTCTAGAGGATTCCTGGATTCACCGAGGAATTGGGTAGCAGAGTGAGCAAGATTTCTGTGCAAGTGCCATTGTCTTTGTGCACACTCTTTCCTGATCGGGACAGCGACTGTCAAGTTTCCACTTTTTCTGTTCTTTTCCACTCTTCATCTTCTCTTTTCTCCCTCCTTTTCCTCTTCTCCTCTTTTCTTCCTTCTCTTCCTCCCCTGTTTCCTTTCTCTTTTCCCTCTTCTCTTTACTCTTCTTTTGCCTCAGTCTGGAAGTCTCTCTCATGACTTTGGAACTGACTTTCTTATATTGGCTCTCAAAATATTACTTATTGCCAGGAGTTTATTTTATTCCTATGAAACACCAGAGTAAGGGAAATATCTTACCAGGAAAATGTGCTCAGCTGTTCCTCTTATTTACGTGTTGCATGTATGCTCAATATTGCAAGCATTTCTGTACAGTAGGTTCTTTTATGGTCTAAGACTGGACTATATGTGGTCTTGTGTTGCTGGCTGAAGTCCTAGCAGATACCAGGCTTTGTGGCTGCTCTTTTTCTGTTTATAATACCAGATAGCGTCATCTGGAAATGCTACAGAGGAAGTGAAGTTGGTTCTAAGTCTCTGCTTGCAGATCCTTTTTTTAATTGATTATTCTCAGTTGCATCAAACATTGTTTCTGGGATTTGGCTTATCTAGAGAATGGCAGCAGTGCATTGAAGCTACCGTTCAATATTAGTTGCTTTTTTGAAAACGCAAATGAAGCTGAAAGCCTTCTTCTAAACTATTCAATAAATTAACTTTGTTTTGGCATTTAGGAAGTTGGCAGATATTCTTCCTATTTCTTTGCCTTCAGTCTATTTTGCGTTTGTCTTGTATTTCTGTTGCATCCACCAGTATCTTCTTCTGCAACTCTCGAGGGACATGGGGAGGGAGGGGAAGGAGGGGAATTTAAGAACTGAAAACCTGTCCTCAGGGTACTCACTTGGCATTGAAAGTTATAAAGTGTTGCTACTTAAGTCCACGTTTCTGGAGCTACAGATACGGCTTTTGTATATGGAGAGAAAGTGCAATGAATATGCATCTTAATGAAGATTAGAAATTTCTTTGGAAGCCAATGTGCAGGCAGAGGAATGGTGGCAAGTGTAATGTAAGAAATGGAGACTTGGGATTCACTGAGTGAGTCTAAGTGAAGATATGAGCAGAGATGCAAGAATTAACTACATTTTCTAGTTCAGTGGAGATATTTTCAGAATTTTATGTTGGAAGGTGGCTTACAGGGTCTTAGAGCACGACTGACTGAACAGCCTAAGGCATCCAAATTGCAGGGGGAAAAAAGACTAAATGGATGATGTTGGGAAGACCTAAAATTAACAAAGCAGTGTTTCACTCTCACTTAGGTGAGCTCCTGTATTCCTTACCACACACCTGGATTTCTTCGGGAGTTACAGCAGTTGAAAATAGAATAGAATAGCTGAGGAAGTATCAAATCAGATTTCTCGTATCTTCTCTGCTTAGCCTAAATACACTGTTTTTCTGATCTGCAGTGCTGTTTGTAGTTCCACAAACTCACTAGCTTGTAGTGCCAGAAATAAACACCAACATATCCTCTACTCCAGTGGAGAGTAAGACCTCCAGTTTGGAAAATGTTAAGGTAACTGGAAATACTGAAAAAGTAGATTGTCACACACAAGATCAGGGAGAAACCTACACAGGTAGAGGTCATAGCTTTCTTAGCCTATTATAACTCTTAATGCTATCTTACATATAATACTGAGCAATCTAGGGCATAGCCTAAAAGGAACAATAAATGCAAAGCTAATAACCTCAGTTTTTGTTCTCTTCCTACTGTTTTTCTTTGTTTGTTCTCTAGGATCATGGTTCCTCCTAGTGGAAAGGGCTATCATCATATCATTGCTGTGCATAGTTATTATTTTGTGTGCGGCTCAGCTCACTGTTATTGGTAAGTGTCAGCTCTTCAATTCTTTGCAATTATTGATTTGTCCTGAAATCCCTTGCATGTGTACAGGCATCTGTGCAAAATGAAAGATGCTGCTCACATCTGAAAGATGTGGGTGGAATCGATGCAGATAATACTCAGGGAGGTGGTGTGTGTTTACCCCTAAGTGGTCTGGGCCACACTGCTCATTTGCTTGCAAATAGGGGTTGCTTTCTGGGGTCTGTGTTTAGAACTCGTCTGCCATGTGAGGCTGTTTTTGCTGCCAGGACTGTATCATTCACAAAACGATGTGCTCTTTTGCAGGTATATAATTTTTGTGGGATGTAATTGGTAATGGGTACTGTCGTTCGTTAGAACAAGGAAACTCTTCTTCACAGTTGGTACACCATGATTTTATTGTAAAATTAGAAACAAAAATGTTTCATTTTATGGTCATAAAATCAATATTAGAGAAGGGTGGTTCTGTCTTCTTAATGTAAAATTGTTCATTAGTCTCTAAGCACTGGCTGAGTTATAATTTAACACCAACATCTGTGATTTTGTTAAATGTTTTTAGAGGCAATACAATTGTTCACCAGTGTCAGAAATCCTTGGGTGCTCTTTATGCAGTGGTGTCCAACTACTGTGCAATGTAGAGTGTGCTTTCTTCTGGCCTTTCAGATGGATCCCTGTTGTGCATTTTGTTACATCAATCTTTGAGTTTTTTCAGGCTTTCTCAATTTGTAGACTTCTAAAAAATTAAAAAAAAAAACAACTCAGTTCTGCTAAGAGTCAAGTCCATGAGAAATGGAAAAAATCACACTCAGAGTGATTTGTAATAATCAGATATGTATCCAGCCATCTATATGTCATTTCCTTTATTTTCATGAACTTCTGGAAGTGCTATATGACTCTTCAAAGGTTCATCCATGGTCAGAGGTTGAAAACTAATACAGTTTTTTAAAAATTATTTTATTTCCATAGTGTTGGATTAATTTTTGTTTGTGGCTTAGGAGTCTCTGATATGTTCAGGAATTGTCATTACCTTGTGTTCAGAGCAGAACTTCAACATTTTTAGGAAAGCAATAGTTTCATGGAGAAGCACTGTCGTTTTATAGGAGTAATTTGAGTGTGCTTGGATGTTTCTGCACCTGGGCAATTTATTGAAAGGTCTTTGACCTCTGTGCAGAAAAGAGATTTGGTATCTCTAACTTAATTGTTGGGATTTTTTGGTTTGTTTAGGAGGGGGTTTTTTCCTTTAATTTGCACCCTTTTAGGAAACCTGTGAATCCATCAATGCTATTGTATACCTTTAAATAGCTTGTTAAATTGGGCGGTGATTTTTCTGTGTAACACTTGGGAATGTATGGCTTTTTTGGGTTTGTGGGTTGTGGGGGTTGTGTTGATTTGTTTGAGGTGGGGTTTTTTGGCGTTTTTGTTTACAGGGTTGGCTTTTAGGATTTAAGTTCCTTTGGAGACAGAGGTGATATGTCTGAGCTCATACAGAGTCATGAGGAAGAGAATGAAACCTGGAATTTATGAATTCCTATCTGACATTCCACCTGAGTAACAAATTCACTGTAACATCTAAATGTCAGTAGTGCATCTACCTCAGTTAACTTTGGGACATGGCACAGGTTACTTTAACATATCACCTGAATTATATGGAAGGAGAAATTTAAGAATTTGACCAGAACACCACTGCCAGGTTTCATTTTTCTGAGTAAGCCGTATTAACCATATCCAGGAATGAAAGCAAATTAAATCTTGGGAATGTATATAGTTTTAATTTTTAGGAGTTTGAGTTTCTTTGCTTAGGAACAGTTCTGATTGTTTTTCTCTCTGTCTCCCTTTTTTTTGTCTTTAAGCATTAAAATATGATATTGAATCTCAAAGGAAAGTGTGCATCATAGTAGCAGTTGTCATCTTAGCAGTTGTAGCTGGTGTAGGCACTGCTCTTTTCGTCCAAGGTAAGTGATGAAAATTGCTTTCTTAATTTAAGGGAAAAAGAGCACAAAAGGATCTATTCCATGGTGTAGGATGGAAGTTAGCACCACCTATTAATTGCCATCTATTTTAAATTTAAAAAAAATTATATAGACTACAACAGAAACAATGTTGGGGTTGTAAGGCCCTGAAGTGATCATAGGAAGATACAGACTCTGAATTTATTTATGTTTTCTATCCTACTGCCTTGGGTGAATATTAGGGACTAAATGACTTCTCGTGGTTCAGTGGGATTTTTTCTGAACCCTAGAAGCTTGATGATGCTAATGATTTATGTTTGTTGTTTTGTGCTTAATTCCAATTAACGATGTCTGTTTTACTAATTTCCATATAAATTTTTGTAGATGGCTACACTGCACTGAATCAAGCTGGTCTTGGCCTAATTGTAGTCCCTGCTGTGGTTTTGGTACCACTACAATACTTCATGTTTGGAATTGGTGAGTGTTTATTTATTCCTTAACATGTGGATGGAAAAAATTGAGCTCTCCCCCCCATAACCTAGAGAATATTTTCAGTTTTATAAATAGGTGCTACAATAGCATCCTGCATTCCTGGCATTTCTCGTATCTCAAAATAAAATGTTCAGCCTGTTTGTTTGGCTGAGTTGTCTACTTGAAGAATGAGATTTAGGGTAGCACATTTGAGGGATTTCTGCTCTTCCTTCCTGGATTTAGGAATTAAGTTGAATAACTAGCTCTCAGAATGTGTGTTTAATTTTTTTTTTTACTTGTGGTTTATTTATCATTTTATTTATATGTACATATTTTTTAGGTGTGTGTATACCTACAAGAGCCCTGCCTTACAGTGACTTTTGAGTTTTGTTATGACATTGACTGGCTGAGCTTAGAATTTAAGGGAATCTGCTTTTTTTAACTTTATGTGAATTATCTACCTTTCGTGTCTCTGTAGTTAAACTTGAAAAACTACAGTTTTGTTTGTCTTTCTTTTTTTCCCAGTTTTTGACAGTCTACCTCATACAACACTGGCTCTGATAGGTTTGAAAATTCTTGGTTATATAATTGCAGTGGTTGGTTTTGCACTGTGTGTCCCAGGTAAGCAATTTGTCTTCTATGGAAGTGGTTTTTTGATTTTGTTTTCACCTCATGTTCTTTATTTCTAACCCTAAAAAGCTGTGAAAATGGCTACCCTACATGGAGTGTTAGCAAGTAACTTTTGTAAATGTAGTTTAGGACTACTGTGTTAATGTTCTTTTATCTGGTGAAAGAAGAACAGCCCAAAGGCAGTATTACATATATCAGTTTCATGACTGCATTCTAGGAGCAGTTGCTTTATGAAAAATAAAATCTAATTGTTTTAATTTTGCATGTTAGGGCCTTAAAAGTCAGTGTTGATTTTAGGTGACTATTATTGTTATTCTTACTGAGGCTTAGGGTATTTAGAAACTAAACTAGAGTCATAATAATTTTCTCACGTTCAATGAGTAAATCAGAAATTCTTTGTTAATCTCTGCTTGTATGCAACTGAGTCCATGAATATTTCAGTGAATACCATTGAAACACATTAAGAAGGTAAATGTAGAGACAGTAAACTTGGAAGTGTTCTTGGACTATTTTAAGTCTGGTTCTGGCTGGCATTCTGTTTCACCATTGAAAAACAGTCACTGTGGTAAAGGGACTAACTGAACACCACACACAGTGATATCCCTTATTCCTGCCTCTGACCCTCCCTTTGCCCCCTCCCTGCCTTCCCCTGCACCCACCAGAGAACCCTACAGCAGAGAAAAGGGTGAATTTAGGACTAGGCATCCTTGGCAGTATATTTAGTAGTAGAATATACACATACTCATGTTCCTTGTAGGTGCTTTATGCTCCTGATTTATTGTTTCCTAGAGACATTCTTCATTTTAGTAATTTATTTGGTTGGGGATTTAAGACCTCTTTTTCCTTGAAATGCTTTTTAAAGGTTTGTGTAATCTGAGTGGAATGATAGACCTTTCAGTGGGGTTATGATTTGAGTTTTATGCTTATTGTTTAGTATTTACAGAGGTATTTTTAAGGGGCACCTAAGTGTTTTAAGATGTAATAGTAAAAAAAAACTGATAGGAGATTTCTGGTAAAGCATTAATGCTCTAGAGTAACACAAAATGGAGGATGTTTTTATTACTCTCTCAATGAAAAGCCTCTCTGTTTTTTCAGGGTGGTCTCTTCCCAGGTCATGCATGGTTGATGTTACCTGTCTCTCTGGAAGTTTAGCTCAATGACCCTTAAGGGGCATCAGTAGAAATTGCTCATCCTGGCTTGAGCTTGCAGATAGTTGCAATGACTTTTAAGTCCCTGGAAAGGAGGATCAGAGAGAACAAGGAATTTTAGTAGTGAAGTATGATTGGGTTTTAATAGCCTCTCCCTGTTCTGGTATCCCCGTAAACATGGAGCATTTCTGTTATCTGTGGTTGATTTGCCTCAGAACTACCCACATATTCTGCACCCTTCTTCCCTTTTTTAATCCTGTTTTTTCAATAGCAGTATTGTATTCTGTAATCTGATGTGATTACAGTTCAAAACAGTTGGCATTGAAGATGTAAAGTTTAAAATTAAAATACAGTTAATGAAAGAATGTTGTCAATTGCAGTGAATGTCAGTAGAATACCTAAACTAAGAGAATAGTACACATAAGTAGAATAAATCAGTAAATGCCTCTGTATCACCAAAGAATGTATACAAAAAAAGAAAGATGCAGTAGTAGTTCTTGGATAGCTTTGAAAGAGAAATTAATCACATCTGTTTTTATCAGGCTTACTTATTTTAATAATGAGTTATATCTGAAAATAAAAGTTTGTGCTTTTACTTGTGTCAGATGATACAGTTGCTTTTATTGTGTTTTAAACAGCCTGTCCTCCATTACATGCCTCTGTTCTGATTGCTGGCTTAGCTATTATGGCTACTGCAAGTTTGCTCAGTCTGGTTTACGTGTTTATTATGGGTAAGTAGCACCTAATATTCTGCTTTTTTTTAAATAGACTTTTTTTATTTGAGCATAAGGTGTGATTTCTTAATTACATAGTTTTAAAAATGACTGAAGAGTTGTCTGTATGTGTTGGCTCTGTTTCATAGAGCCTGTAGGGAATCTTGAGTAAAGAAATCTGCAGTTGATCATAAACTGTTTTGAGATAACACAGCCAGGTTTCTTAAGTAAGATTGTTTCAGCTGTAGGAGGGTTGCTTTTTATGTTCTGCATTTACGCAGTTGGGTTGCTGAGGCTTAGAATGTAGACAGCAAAAGGATATCAAGGATATCATGGAGTGGGTTTGGGATGGTGATGACGAGCTTATCAAAATACGGATTTAAAGAAGCAAAATCCGTCTACTGGTTTGCACTGGTTATTGGTGGGTTAAAGTAATGCACACCTTTCATTTTTAGTGAATGGTGGGTTTACTTACGCTTAATTTTAAAACCAATAGAAAAGAATAGCAAGGCTTTGTTTCAGAAAGTGGTCTGGTCTGCTCATCAGATCTCAGAAAGATGAGAGATTTAAAGATCTGCTAAATAAGCAACAACCACAGCAATGCTGTGTGGTTGGAATGCTGGCACAACACAGCATGACATTATGTGGCCTCCACAGCTTGGGTGGGAAAGCAGAGGGACATTATTTCTGTCAAGCTGTGCGTGAAGGCTCTTCAAGCAGCTTGTTAGCTTGGACACAGAACCGTGCAGTTGAGGATACATTGCTTCCCCAGTCTGCACTGAACTGTGCAGGCTTCCAGGTTTAGTGTGTGCACACCATATGTGGGCATGGCCAGAAATAATGGACACTGAGACAGAGAAGATTTCCAGTAAAGAAGAAATTAAGGCAGCATGCCTAGTATTTGATATCCAAGATAGATAGATAGATGAGTCAAGATAGATTAAGATGAGTCAAAAATGTGACAGAACTGAAGCAAGCCTTTTAATAACAACAATAAAAGTATTTTTTTATTGACTTTGGTCTACTTGTATGTGACTTAAATACTGTGTGCTATTATTGGTCTGCATAAATGTTGTATTTGTGGTTTGATTATGCTGGCTGAACAAGTCAAATGTGACTGGGGGTAGACTAGCACACCAAAATAAGCACAGTGAATAGTGTGTAGTGTAATTCATTTTTAGAACTGAGTGCATGAGTGAGACAATTTGCAGACTGTGTGCGATAAGATTATTCAGTTCGTAAACAGAGGAGTGCTTAGAGACTTTAAGAATTTGCAGGTCATCAACTTAAGTCATTTTGGATAGGGGAAGCTTCAATTTTTTATGTTGCTACTCTGTTGCAAGATTTATCAGTAGATAATACCATTTCCCAGATAACAAGTAACAGGATGAGAGAAAATGGCTTCAAGTTGCACCAGCACAGGTTTAGATTGAATATTAGGAAAAATTTCTTCACTGAAAGGGTGGTCAAGCATTGGAACAGGCTGCCCAGGGGCAGTGTTCAAAAAGTGTTCAGAAACTGTCTAGTTGTGGCACTTGGGGACGTGGTTTAGTGGTGAAGGTAGCAGTGTTAGGAGAATGGTGGGGCTTGATGTTCTTGGAGGTCTTTTCCAACCTTAACAAGTCTATGATTCTTTGTTTTTATTTGGTTGATCGTGACATTTATTCATCTGCCTGGTCACTTTTTTGTAATTATTTTAGGTTCCAGAATGAAAGATCATCCTCGTCCAGGGGTAAGCTTAAAATTAATAAATTTGGGGTGACTAGATGGCTCAGGGGATTGTAGTGAGATACTGAACCTTTCTTCACTAGTTCGAATTCAGACCAGGTTGGTAGCAAGCAAAAGTTCTGGCTGTGTAACAGATGTCTAATGTTGAGTGAGTTGGTCTTCATTGTCCCTATTGAGTGTGTCTGTAGTACTGTAATTGCCACCCTTACCTGGTGGCTACTCCGACTGTTGTGCCCAAATGGAGTTTCCATTGCTGTCACTAAAAGGTGGTGGATGTCAAGGGCATTCTTTTACAATGCACTCTTTCATCTATATTTATAAAGACCTCCTGCTCACCTTCTTGAAAAGCTTTTTCATTAAGGTGAGTGCAAAACATCCAGGTGGCTTGTAAGAAAGACTTAGGAGTTTTTTTTCTGTTGTCTTGTACATCAAAACTCTGTGATATTCTCTTTCAATTCCTGGCTATGTGGATGGTATAGCCTTGGCCTTTTTTCTGATTTCACTATAATGCCCCTTAATTTGATGAGACCTTCTGAAAACAGAGTTCTGTCTTTAGGTAACACAGAACAAATCAAAAAACACCTTGTTTTTTTTAAAGAAGGTTTTTCAGACGGGTGTTTTGAATTCTAGAGTAATAATTTCCAAAACAGTAATTTTCATAGACTTGGGCAGTGCTTTTAAGTGACTCATGAATGTGAACTGCCTGATTTCTGGCATTTTTGCACAAGCAAGTAAAGAGGCACCACTGTAAAATACCAGTAAAATTTCCTTGTAGCAGGGGAACATCTCTTTGGTGGCAGCCATTGTTTGAGGGCACCTTTCCAGGTCTCCAGTCTACAGCCTGAGACCCAGCTGTTAGAGAAAGATGGTTTCCAAGAATGGGACACGAGAGCTGACAGCAGTTAGGACAAGAGATTTTTAATTTTTTATTTCCTTTGCTTTTTCTCATCCATTGTCATTTTAAGGAGTAGTATTTCAGAGGATTGGTCTCACTTATGGAAGGAATATAAATGCACAGAGTTTAAAAAAAAAAAGAAGAAAAAGAAGTTCAGAAAGGTAATTATGTCATAAAAATGAGCTGAGAAATTTAATTAAAGATATCCTTCATTCAACATGCAGTCTTGTCTGTATCTAACATCCTTATGTTTACTTGTAGAACGGAAGTAAACAGAGCAAGAGATTTTTTTTCCTTAACTTAATTTTGGATGTAAATAAACTTTGAAATAGAAACCAGCATGCAAAATAGCATCCTTTGATGAGGACTCTGTCCTCTTTGTGAGCTGTTCTCTTTACCAAGGTGGTTTTACATTGCAGCAAGGATTTGAGAAATAAAGAAATAGAGACAGTAAGGTAGTAGTGAACATTGTGTTACTCTCTGAATTGGAGACAGAAATGAAAGCAAAAGAAATTTTGAAATCTTAGAGGTCTCTTGGAAATCTCAGCCATTAAAAATATGTTTTTTGTAACTGCTGTTTAGTGCAGGATTAGATACAAAGGAATTCAGGTGACATAATTTGTGTCTATGAAGTACAGGCCTCACGGAAAGACTTCGTGGAAATTGAAGTGTGTTAATATGTTGCTTGTTTCCACCCAGGGCTGTTCAGCAAATATTACTGTACTTTGAGGCAGTAAATAGGTGTGAAGGAATTCTGAAAATATACTTTGATTCTGTGTCATCTAAAGACTATGGAAAATTTAATATTGGTGAAGGGCTTCATTTTGATGCTGGGGCAAACTTACAAAATGATTGAGATTTTCTTGAGTCGGAGGTGGGAAAAGCTGTGTGTTTTGAAATCTGCCATCTTAACCAAGTACTGATATTTTTTTTAGCACTTCTGTAATTGCGTGTGTTGTTTCTAATGATTGTCTTCCAGACTAAATGCACAACTGTCGTGTATTTCTTTTTGAGGAGATTCCACTTTATTGCTTGGCTACTAATTTTTTTTTCTTTTTAGTCCTGCTGCTTTGTTACTAACCATTGATCAAATGGCACAAATAATCAGTTAGATGTTGGAGCTTAAAAGTAATATCTGCATGCCTTCTGCTGCCACCTAGGGGTATTTCATCTGAGCCAACATTCACAGTGGGGGAAAACAACCTGGAGAATGCAGCTATTGATTGATTTAAATTTTTTTCAGAACTCTAGTCAGCAATTTGATTAACGTTAAGCTTTCTTCGTTTTTTTAGAATCACTACTTACTGTATATGTCAATTAGAGTAATTTAACTGTGGCGAGCCAAAAATAAACATGAAGGCTTTTTATACATATATATATTTTTAAATGTTTTGCAGAAAGCTGTAGAAGAACCACTAAATGGTAGGTGATATTCAAGGCTTATCTTCTAATTAAGGGATTAATGTTGGAAAAAGGTTGAACAATAATTGTAGTTCCCAGTAGAACAGCACTGAAATGGCAGATCAATATGTCAATGTATGTGGCTCTGTGAGACATAGTAGTTTGATCTCTCAAGGAAGTTATGGCAGATCCAGGCTCCTTGCTTTATGCTACTTTCCTTGCTAGCCAGTGGCATTGTTTGACTGTTGTAGGACAAATCTAATATTTTAGGATATTTTATCCACCCTCTCTGCTTTGCAAAATGTCCAGCTTTTAAGAGAAAAAGGACAGGTCTTGATATTATTTCCTCAGACCCATTTGTTTAGGTGAAATACTTCCGATTATAGTAAAATCTATCCTTGCCGCTCTATTCTTCCCATATTTCTTTGGGTTGGGGAAACTCTGGCATGGTTTGGGGAAACTCTGCTAGCACTTAAGGTGAGGGAAGTTTACAGTGAGAAGGGGATGATTCTAAAATTCTATTTGTCTTTTTTTTTTCTTTGCTATTATAATCACTAATTGGCATGCTGAGTAGTAGCAAGTTCTAACATGAATTTTAGAATTAATCTGAATGTTAATTCTGAAGCATTTCTTGCTGACTCGTTACTAATCCATTTGCTTGGCTTTTAAAGATGCAAAAGGAGTGATGTTAGAATGATGGTAAGTCCAAATATATCTCAAGATATCTATTTAATTGAACGTGTATTTGAGGATGTTTACAGTTACCCAGTGCTAATATGATGAAACTTGGAGGGCAGTTTCAGGGCAGGTGCTGTTCTTAATTCAAATTATATTTAATTGAAAAGAAGGAGAATTTGTATTCTATATCACGCATAGGGGAGGAATGTGTGCCCCTAAACAGTGAAGAGAACGAGTCAGTGAGAGAACTATTCAATAGGATGTTTCTGATGAAATGCGGAAAGTCAAATACCTTTCTGCTTCCTTTATGCTCATTCAGTATTCAAGATGCATGGACTGTTTCCTTGGTGGTGGGTTGTTCTGTATGAGTTTTTTGGGGTTTTATTGCTGGATTTTTTATATAACCGAGCTTTCACTATGCATTTAATTTGTGATTGCCCATGGAAATTCACAGGAAAGTGGTTTAAAAGTAACTTTCTGTCCCTCTCCCCCTCTTTAGGTGCTACTTTATTTCTCTTGGTTTCATTAGATTGCTTGTATTCCAATCAGATTTCACTGAATTTATTATTTTTTCAGATTGCTCTCATTGAAGAGCTTCAATTTTAGGTTAGATGCTAACATTTGAAAATCAAAATGGTTTTGTTGATCACTTTCTATTCAGAAGCTGTACTTCCTTTTCATGGGAATAGGATAAAGGAGCACTTGTTGGTGCTATTGGTATTTATGTTTCTTCCTGGAAACTGAACAAGCTTGTGATGAGGTATCACTAGACCCTTAGCCTGGTACTCCTGCATTAAATGACAACCTCTTGCTACTCAGGATAAAGACTAAGGCTACTCAAATCTGTTAGTTCACTTGAAATAGTTTTATATCATGCCACTTCTAGGAGGCGTGAATTGACAGTGTGACAGTAAGTGAGATCCTAGTTAGCCCTAATTGGAAAAAGATGTGTGAGTTGGTTTTAAAACAAGACTTCCTTACAAATACTATGTACTGTTTATGTTACTATATGTAACATATAACTTTATGTTACTATACTGTTTGTTACTTGCGACTACTACATGATTCATCCAAGTATCCAATATAATTATTTTCTAAACCAGCAGGAATACATGCACTTCTACAATACCAAGGACAACTGCATTGGTGTCTCCTAAATGCGTACCAGTTAGTAGAATCTGAATTAGGAGGAGTGGAAGGTAGATCTTACTCCAGAAGTGGCTACTGCTTGTTCTTCCCAGAGTGGTTTGAGATCAGGAAACAAATAGATATTTGTCAGATTATTGCATTCAAAAGAGACCAGAAGGGAGGTAAGGATGGGTCCACTGCAGTTACCACATACTGCTGAAGGACAAGGTAGAGTTTGGCTTGGAGATCCAATTTTAAATAAGTTGACTGTTTCTTCTTGGGTCTCCTTTAGGCTTAATGAAAACCCACCTCCTCTTCTAGTGCTGAGGTAGAGCTTCCAAAACCCAGAAATTGCCACTTATCCATTTCATTTTTCCTTTCAGGGTAAGGCTAGAAATCTGTCTGCTTTTTCTGCCTAGAAAGAGGGCTCCTAAAAATTAACAGAAGGTTTTACAGATGGAAGGTGCTCTGACTCACAAGCTGGAGGCAGTAACGTTTGGAACTCTACCTGCTTTGTACCCTTCCCCTGAAAGTTCACACACACACCAAAGGGGGCTTGAGTCAGATGCTGAAGCACACTAGCTTACAAAATAGCATGTGAAAGTAAACTGGCATTAGGAGTAAAGACAGGGTGAGTCAGACAGCTGAGTCTGGGAGCCACTTCAGCTTATTTCAATTCATAAGTGAGAGAGGTCTCCAAGGCAGTGTCCACTTTTCTGTAGTGGAGAGCCTGAAACATCACTTGCTGTTACTAACACCCTTTGCCATTATTTGACCGCTAAATGTGCTTTCAAAGTGTGAAATGAAAAAAGTTGTGGTTTTTTTTTTTTTTAAAGCTGTAACTTGGGTTGCTTTTCTTCCCAAACAATCTTTTGTCTTTTCTTTTAAATTCCCAGAACTGCAAAGTTATGTGATGCGTGAACAAAATGTACACCGTTGTTGATACACCGTGGCCTTGAAGATGCACTACTCAACGAGAAGAAATTCAGGAAACTGGTTGTTTTGCATGTGTGGCAAAAGTGCTTTTGATATAAATGACGTAATTTTATAGTCACAGCAGCTGTAGCAAGGAACATGTGTTTTTGCCCACATGTGATCTTTATTTTCTTTTGTTATGGTATATATGGGATGGTTGAGGGTGAGAATATAGAAAGCACTGTTTGCCCACTGCAGGGTCTCCCTGCAGTAATCCTTAGTGGTATTATTTTCAAAAACTATCATTAGTCACTGCTTTGATAATGGGCCTGCTCAGCCCAGAGGTTGCAATACCATTTAGACTATTGTTTTCTTTATTTGTGTGCATGGGCAAAGTATGGTCTATGTGTGTGATACAAGCAGGAAGTAGAGACTGTAAAAATACATCTTTTCTGACATTCAGCAAAACTTGTATAAGAAAAAGTAAAACCTTTTACACAAAGTTGCATAAGTACAAAGTTTACTCCCAGTTCTCCTGAAGTCATTAACAGAGTTCTAATTCCACAAAACACTAGTATTCCTCTCTCTGGACAGTAGCCATGTATGCTGTGGTGGCCAGTATTTTTGTCCAGTGAGAGAACTCTCCGTGCCTCCTCTGTATTCCTGGATGAGAAACTGCTCAGCTGTTGGAGCCTAATTCAGCACTGGAATTACGGAGCACAGCAGTTAGTAATTTTCATGCTGAATGTGGTTCTTGTGTGTGTGTTCATGTTGTGCAGTGTGTGGTACTGGAAGCAATTTCAGGCTTTCTTAACTCAGTGAATTTGTAAAAGTCGTGGATGCTTCATAAAAATAGGAGTTGTCCTATTTAGTGTATTTTTGGCAGAGTTTTAAAATCTTGTTTTCTTGAATGGAAAAAAGGAGCTATATAATTTTTCACCGAAGTTTATGTTGCTGCCATTATATCACAAATACATAAAATACAAAGTAAGTAGGAGGAACTGATGAGACATGAGGAAGCTCAGTTTCTGTATATATATATGTGGTATAGTTAAAAATCAGTTTTCTAGGACTTGCACATTCCATGGGATTTTACCACATTTTACAGCTGTTATGAGAGTTGTTCCAATATACTTGGTTTCTCTTGGACTTTGTGTATACTTTGTAGAAATCTTGACACTGTCTGCTGTTTGTACTAAGGTATTGTATTTCAAAGATACACGTGGTTTTCTCCTAACAATTTAAAACTTGGTTTGGAAAGCTGTTGCCAAGCAGTAACATAATAAAATCCACGTTTTTAAAGATTCTGAGCAATTTGGCACTTCTCAGAGTTGAATGTTACAAAGTAAGGTTCCATATCCATATTGTGGGTGCATGTTGCAGAGATTTGGGTCTCTGCATGTTGAGCTCCAAGTCTTGATGCACTTGGCATCAAGAATTCAACAAAACAAAATTGAGATACCTGATTTTACAAGAGGTGCTGCTGTAAACAGCCCTCTTGCTAAGGCTGCAGGATTGAACCATTTAAAGCAACCTGTGGTCCAGCCCTCACAAGGATCAGTGGAACTGGGCACAGAGAAGAGAATCATTCATGTGATAAAACATGGAAGAAGCATGTATGGCTTACACTCACTGTCATATTTTGTCAGTGGGAGTGTTCATGTAAGATTTGAGCTCCTACCTATGAATCTTTTGATACAGGTTTTTCCATAATGTCAGTGATCTCTAGCTAAAGATGGGAGATGATTCTCCATTAACAATTCAGTGTAAGAATTTATCTGATTAGTACTGTGCAGTGCTCCCTATTTATAACTAGTGATTCCCTCTGGCAAGTTGAAAGTCTAGCAGCTGAGGAATTAAAAAAACCAAATCAACTGGAATTCTGTTGAGGTATTCTGCCTTATAAAAACTGTTATGTACAATAGCTTTATGTTAACTTCTGTAAAGCAAACTGCAGCAGAACCCGTTTGTGTCACCATAGGATCAGGCCGAGCTCAAAACCTGAGGAGCTCAGAGCTCAGTGTCCGTGTAGGAGCTGCAGAATCAGTTGCCCCAGAAATGGGAGAAACCCACTGTCCTGTTGTGTCAAGGGCTGGATTTCTTGTAGGTACAAACATAAAAGCAAGAGTTTAAAAAGTCATTGATACATCCAGCCCTTTTCCACCAGTAATTTCAGACCAAAGTTGTTCATAACTGTATGCTTTCATTTGTGTGTGTACATGTGTGTATATATAAACATACAGACATTTGAAATATCTATAGATCTATAGTCTTTACCCAAGAAAATGTTTTTATTTATTAAACAAGAAATGATTTTGTAAATATCGTGCTAATATACTTAAAAAATAAAGTCATTTTAAGTTGTTTTTGCGGGAGATTTTCTTGTTGCTAGCACATTGCACTTCTGTAGCTGCTTCCATAAATTCACAGTCATAGCTGCTCTTCTCCCTGCCTTTATGTATGACTTACTGGATATACAGGAGTGTTCTCAGTGTTACAGAGGCTGCTGCAGATGGTTTTGGTTGGGTTTCTCCTTCAGAAGGTCATCTGGTTGGTGAAGCAAGTGTGCAGATTGCCCTGTAATAACTTGAATGGCGCTGACTGACATCACCCATCAGATGTTGTCACTGGAGTATGCTGTGGGAGGAAATACGAGCTGAGGACTAACAAGCTCCTGGTGTAACTTGAAAAGCACAGCAGAGCACTGCATATTTCTACTCAGTCTTCGTAGCGCTGGAGTGGTGTTTCCGTGAGAAGAGGATTTCTTGTGCTACTGCTAAAGCACTACTGCATAAATTCTGGATTTTCTGAAGTTACATTTGATGTTTGACAGTGGACAAAAGACAGAAGGCCACAAGAGCTGACCGGTAGCATTTCCACTCACACATCCTCTTCGGTGGAGCTGATGGCAACAGTTGAAATTATTAGCATTTCCCTGCTTGTTCAAGGTGATTTGAACCATGGCTGTTGAACTTAAAAGATCCCTTCAGAAATGTTTTGTGACTTCCTCAGACACACTTTCCTCTCTAAAGGAGCCGTGAACCACAGTTTGAGCGATGAAATTTAAGTTTTACAGTTTTGCTGTGCGGGGACCTGACTGCAAAGTGAACTGTAAGCTCAGAGTGGCCCTGGTTCTAAAGCTCAGGAAAACTGCGTGCTTGAATTCTGAGGTGAGAAAAACAGTGCTAATCTAAGTGTATGTGGCTGGAGGATATCTCAATGCAATATTGTCGGGGATACCTAATACCTGCAATCCTGACTGCTCCAGTCAGTTAAGCCAGGAAAACCAACCTCAGCTGTCCAGTCCAGAAGCCTTCTGACAGAAGCTGCAGTGCTTTATCAGAGCTCTGTAAATGAATGTTTATCATCAAGCTACCTGCCTAATAGTAGAAGTGGTTGTTCTCTAGTTTATTCTGCTTCACAGGAGAATTTTATTTTTTTTTCTATAGTAAATAATTCTTTTGTGCTTTGGTGCTCTGTGCCTGCGTCATAGATACAGCCAGTACTATCTTGGACTACAGTACATCTTACTTCCTGTACCCTTGAGGATTCTTGCAAAGCTTTCATGATGAAAAAAGTTTGCGAGCTGGAGTGTCTCTTGTTTTCTTGTTGATTGTCTACTGTGCCTGCTGCAGAAGCGGGGCAGTGGTCCATCATGGCCTGGTAGGTGTGCCCCAAACCCTGCACAGGGTGCCTGCACCCCTGTCTCAGCCCCCTTCCCTGCTGTGGCTGGACTGTGGTATAAGGGCAAGGAGTAGTTATAAAGGACAAGGAAAGGGCAGAACCAGATTACTTTTCAGTGAAATGATGAATTGGCAAGAAAATTTAATACACAAATGTAAATAGCAGGGAGACAAGGATCATCTGCTTTGGGGGTGGAAAGCTGCAGTGTTGAAACACGTTTTGGTTTCCTTCTGTTCTTTTGCTTACTTGTTTTTTAAAGACTACAGAAAGGAGGCTTTTGAAATTATTGGGCTGGAGAGTGGGAAGAGAGTCTGCCATGAATACATAGTTGGTGGGAGAAGTATTTTAAAGGGCATAGGAACTGCAGATTTGCTGGAAGTGTGGGAGCAATTTCTCCTAACTTGTCTCTAACAGTGGTACTTTTGGACCCTTCAGGAGTTGTGGGACTATTTCTGTTTCTTTACTGACAGGGGTGTCAAGCATTGACTGAATGGGCTGCCCAGGGAAGTGGTGGAGTCACTGTCCCTGGAGGTGTCCAAGAAACAACTGGACATGGCACCTAGTTTCGTCGGCAAGGTGGTGTTGAAAGGTTGGATTCAGTGACCTTGGAGGTCTTTTCCAACCTTAAGAGTTCCATGACTCTGTATAGTGCAAGCATGTGACCCACCAGCTGACCATGTAGAGGTCCTTGGGGACGTAGAGTTGTCAAATGAAGTCAGCACGCTACCTCTACAGCTCAGTGATGTCCCCTGGACATAATAACTGCCTGGTGCAGGGTAAGGTCTGGCACACCTTCAGCTTGAATTAATAATACTGAATTTTACTGTAATTCACAATTTACGTACCTGCACTTAATGAAAGATTTTGAAACTGCTCTAGCTAGTTAGGCAGCACTCCCTGTGGGTGCAGGTTAAACCAGGAATTACCAGACATGTGGAAAAATGAAGGATGACCTTTTTCAGAACTTCAGCCTTAGGGTTGGCTTGAGGTTATATTTGGTTGCATTCATTTGCCTTTCCTTTTTGTCTTCTAGAAGTGCTGCGGGAATTGCTTTCAGAACAAGAACATTTGGTTCTGTTTTGGGCATTTGGGTTTTTTGGGGTTTGTATTTTTGCTGTGTAAGAAAGCAGTATTCTTTAATAAATTAGATACATGGGAAAGAGAAAAAGCAACAAACCAGCAGAAATTCACTCTGCTGTTGACCAGAAGGTTCATCCAAGGACAAACGATGGAAAGTTCGAAGACAACAATAAGGAGAAAAGGGATCTTTAAGGTCTGTTCTTTACAACTAATTTTTAAGTTTGAGCATAGCCAGTTAAGATAGTCTCACTGAGGCAAAAGGTGATTTAGGATTCTCTGACATTTCTTACTTGTTCAGCTGCGTGAAAAAGTGAGAATTCACCATATTAAAGATGACATGGCAGTAAAGGTGCTGTGTGGTGTGCAGAGCTCTGCAGGTATGGGGAGTTGGCCTAGATAGAACTTGGAGGATTTGATTTGTCCCACATTAAGAAACACTGAGAATTAAAGGATCATAATAAAATTATATAATTATAATTAAAGGAGCCCCGCTTAGTAATAGATTCCTCTGTAGCCTGCACTGCAGTTATAAAACAGTGAGGTTTTTGGAAACATGATCCATCTAGCTGGAGCTACAGTTAAGAATGAATACATTGCACCAAGTATGTCAGGCTTTGAGAGAGCCAGGCAGTTTCTGGTGTAGGAAGTTTGTGAGGTTTTGGCTGGCACAGATAAATGGGTACCACTGTAGGAACCTAAAATGTCCTTCCTTACTGGTATGTAGGTAGGAAAAGAAAGGGTAATTTTTGATAGACTGAGCAAGCTGAATAGTACTGTGATACTGCTATTTAACAATATAAAGAAATGTGGATAAAAAAAGGTTCTGAGAAGGAGGAGGGGAATTGCTTTCTTTTTACAGTCCCCCTTACCTGTCATTTCCTCCGATCCTGCCAGTCTCATCCCAGCAGAAGATTGGGCAGGGGGCACTGGGCTCCTGCTCCTTCCCCCTCCTGGTTTGACCCCCCCCGTGCCTCCTCCGCTGCTTCAACAGCAGCAGCACGGCTGGTGCTCTCCAAGCTGGGGGGGAGAGGTGACCATACAGCTCATCATCTCCTGCCTGCCTGCAGGAGGTGGGGGAGGGAGCCCCAACCTAGCTTTGAGGAAGAGGATGAGGATCAGGAGGGATGGATGAGCCTTGGAGCAGCGTGTTAGATGTGCCACCCTCCCACCCTTACAGCGGTGTTTGTTTAATAAAGGTGATGCCTTGATGCTGCCATAGCCCTGTTAGGTTGCCCTTTATGCTGCCTTTTGTTCCTCACAGCAGTTCTCCAGTGAGTGATACAAACCAAATAGTATTGGGAAGTGGGGAAAAAAAGAAACTCACCAAATTCTGAATGAGGCAGCTGTTGGCATTTGCAGTGGCGTTACACCAGAGCACCAAAGCCTAAACAGCTTTAAATGTCCTACTGAGCATGCAATGAAGGTGGCTACAGCATCAGTGAGGAAGTATGATTAATGTATGATAAAATATGTCATGACTGTGCCAGTCACACTGAAGGCAACAGAGGAGAAGATGGTTCCTGTCCCCTAGGGCCAGCTACAGGAGCCACATGTACTTCATTGGTGACAGTGTGAGCTCCTGACAAGCTCTGCAGGTGAATGGATAGCACAGTGCATGTCAAAAAGCAAGGAGGGAAAAGATGCCAAACTCCAAAACAAGCAGCGCAAGAGAAGAACCCTGTGTTGAAAGGTGCAAGTCACTACTTGTTTATTTACCAAGTCTATGAAAACAGCCCCTTGACCACCTGTGCTTGGAGACGGACTGCTCCCTGCCCTGAATGTGCTCTTAATCCAGATTACAGCCTTGGGCTGGGAAACCTGAACAAAACATCCTTGATGCATAGCAGGATCAGCCAGGCCAAGAACTGGGGAGCCCCAAGTGAGCAGCAAAGAGAAAGTGCTGGGAGCTCACAATGCTTTGGAGAAGAGCAGAGTCTGGGAAGAGGGAGGAGGAGGGGGAGGCTTCAGTGGTATTTTCTCCATGTCAGATTGGTTGTGGGGGGTCACATCACCACGAAGTGGCTGTGGTTTTTGGTACAGTTCACCAAAGTATTGGCTAGGCCTCCTCCACCCTTTAATGCAGCTCTGTGCTGCACCTTTCTTAAAGTGCATCTTTTGTTTTTCACACAAGAGAAGAACTTCTACTATGGCACTGTGGTATATAAGGTAAATTATTAGATACAAGCACACACATTACAGGTATGGGTATATTACATACATTATACCATACAGGAGTGGTGAATGCACCATACTCTATGAACACAGGCAAGAGTAGCCTTATTTTGCAACCAGTGATGGTCCATCAGTATGGAAAACAAGGAAAGAGATGGTTTTTCACTGTACATTTGCTTTCCTCCAACAGCTTGCAGGCTTTATTACTGGATTTGATTGAAATCCAGCCCTTCTTAGTCTGCTCGGCTAAAGTCTGAGAAGCTCCTGCTGCACGGTCTTGAAAGGAAACCTTTCAGTGGAAACCAAGAAAGCAAATGTAACAGCCCAACCAGATATTTTAAAGGCCAAAATTATGGTTCCCCCCGGAAATCTTCTACTTAACAGCAAGCCATATATAAAGTTTCAGAAGGAGAGGGGAGCAGCAGGTATATGTAAAGTA